ATCTCATGGGGTTTGGGTGGGGGGTCCCCAGTGTCCTTGTCCCCATGGAGTTGGGCTGGTCCCTGTCCCCAGTGTCCTTGTCCCTGGGGGCTCGAGGGTCCTCCCTGTCACAAGTGGGGTGTCCCTGCCCACCCCAGGAGCTTGGGGTCCCTTCCCTCACCCCTGGGGTTGGTCCCCACCAGGGTTAGGATGGGGTGGGGGGTCCCTGCTGTCCCCGTTGTCCCCGTCCCCACGTGGCTTCTGTCCCAGATCATGCACGGGGGTCTCTTCAGCGAGGACGGCGTCACCCTCGACGACATCCGGAAGATTGAAAGGAACCGACAACCCCCCGACTCAGGTGACACATGGACCCCAAGATGTGCCCCATGTCCCCTCTCTGTGGTGTCCCTGCCACCTCCAAAGGACCGAGATGTCCCCTCCGTGGTGGACAGGTGACCCCGTGTCCCATTTCCTTCCCCCACAGGTCCCATGTGTGACCTACTCTGGTCCGACCCACAACCCCAGGTGAGTTAAACCCCAAAACATCCCAGTTGCCACCTTGGGGCTTCCCAGCACCGTGTGTCCCCAAGGTCCTGGTGACACTGGTGACATTGTCCCTCCTGTAGAACGGTCGCTCTGTCAGCAAACGTGGGGTCAGCTGCCAGTTTGGTCCCGATGTCACCAAGAGCTTCTTGGAGCGGAACCGGCTGGAGTACATCATCCGCAGCCACGAGGTCAAGCCCGAGGGCTACGAGGTGGCCCACGATGGCAAGTGTGTCACCGTCTTCTCCGCCCCCAACTACTGGTGAGTGGCCACTCGGGGACAGGGGAGAGGGGGACACATTGTCACCGAGGAGGAGTTGGCACCGTTGTGTCCGTTCACCGGCTCACGTGCATCTTTGGTGTCACCTCAGTTGGGTCACTGGGTGTCCCCTGGGCCACGTTGTCCCCTCAGTCAAGTCCCCAGGTGTCACATGAGCCACTTTGTCCCCTCAGTCAGGTCCCTGGATGTCCCTTGAGCCACTTTGTCCCCTCAGTTTGGTTCCTGGATGTCCCTTGAGCCACGTTGTCCCCTCAGTCAGGTCCCCAGGTGTCCCTTGAGCCACTTTGTCCCCTCAGCTTAGTCCCTCAGTGTCCCCTGAGCCACTTTGTCCTCTCAGCTTGCTCCCTGGATGTCCCTTGAGCCACGTTGTCCCCTCAGTCAGGTCCCTGGATGTCCCCTGAACCACTTTGTCCCCTCAGTCAGGTCCCCAGGTGTCCCCTGAGCCACTTTGTCCCCTTAGCTTAGTCCCTCAGTGTCCCCTGAGCTCTGTTGTCCCCAGGTGTCCCCTGGGCCACATTGTCCCTTCAGTTTGGTCCCTGGATGTCCCCTGAGCCACTTTGTCCCCTCAGCTTGGTCCCTGGGTGTCCCCTGAGCTGCATTGTCCCCTTAGCTTAGTCCCTCGGTGTCCCCTGAGCTCTGTTGTCCCCAGGTGTCCCCTGGGCCACATTGTCCCTTCAGTTTGGTCCCTGGATGTCCCCTGAGCCACTTTGTCCCCTCAGCTTGGTCCCTGGGTGTCCCCTGAGCTGCATTGTCCCCTTAGCTTAGTCCCTCAGTGTCCCCTGAGCTATGTTGTCCCCAAGTGTCCCCTGGGCCACATTGTTGCATCAGTCAGGTCCCCTGATGTCCCTTGAGCCATGTTGTCCCCTCAGCTTGGTCCTTGGATGTCCCCTGAACCACATTGTCCCCTCAGTCAAGTCCCCAGGTGTCCCCTGGGCCACATTGTCCCCTCAGTCAGATCCCTGGATGTCCCCTGGGCCACATTGTCCCCTCAGTTTGGTCCCTGGATGTCCCTTGAACCACTTTGTCCCCTCAGTCAGGTCCCAAAGCATCCCCTGTTCCCATCCCTGGGGTGTCACCGTGTCTCTGTGACATGCCTCCATGTGCTGTTGTTGTCCCCAAACATCTTTTTGTCCCCAAACACTGCTGTCCCTGTGCCATACCTTGATGTCCCCAAGTGTCCCTCTGCCTGGTTGTCCCTGAGCTTTGCTGTCCCTGTACGGAGGAGCCACCTCATCCCCAAGTGTCCCTGTTCCTGGGAGTCCCCAAGCTTTGCTGTCCCCAGGGGAAGGGGACATGTTTTGGTGTCCCCAGTGCGGGG